CGAAATACACATCGGCCAGCTTGAACTTGGCCTCCTTGCCGAAGCGGTGCTGGTCGGACAGGTACTCACCGAACTTGGAGGCGAATTGCGACCAGACAATCAACTCCGAGGAGGTGAAGGCCTGGATGATGTCCGGCGAGTGGGGGAGCTCGGAAAGCCGGCGCTCGGCCGCTACCCGGTGCAGCATGTCGCTCTGCTCATGGTCGAAGGGGGCCAGGGTGGCGAAGACCACCATGTTGGCCAGGGCCTGGCGCCACTGCTGGTCATCATCCTCGGCGCTGGTGCGAGTGGGCTTCAGCTGGGAGACGGCCACGTGCGACGGGTCGAGCGACGGCTCCAGGGCCTTCGCCCCGCCGGCAAGGGCCGCCTCCTCCGAGGCGCCGGCGCCACCCGGGCCCGGGGCCGGGGTCATCTCCACATCGCCGCCGGAAATGGCCTCGGCCGGCAGGAGCCCCTGGGCCCGCTGGGCGGCCCGGTGCTGCACCGTGTCGTAGATCTGCCGGAAGAAGCGGCACACATCGAGGAACTTCTCGTCATGCATGGCCAGGACAATCTGCAGCTGCAGGTAGCGCAGCTTCAGGTCGGTCATGATGGCGGCCTCCACCCGGGCGGCAGCCTGTTCCGAGGACAGGCGATCCTTCTTCTGCTTGGCCGAGGCCTTGCGGTCGAAGGTCCGAGGGCTGATCTTGCGGATGGCCAGCCCGGCCCGGATGTAGTCCCCCTTGGCGGCCAGCAGGCGGACCTGCTCCAGGATGAAGTCGATCTTGTCGGTGCGCGACAGCGACCCGAAGGTCTCCACCTGCAGGGCCTGCAGGATGTCCGCCGCCTCGGGGATGTCGCCGGAGGCCTCGCGGATGGCCGCCAGCAGCCGGGCCAGCTGTGCGCGCTCCACCTCCACGTAGATGCGCCCGTCGGTGATGGCGATCAGGGTGTCGATCAGGGCCAGCTTGGTGGTCTGATCCGGGGTCTGGGGGATCAGGGCGATGGTGTGCTGGACCATCTTGACAATGGACTGTGGTGTGGCCGGCGAGAAGCGGGGGGGGGGGGGGGACGAACACGGAGATGGATGGCAGATGGTGAGTATCCATGTATGTGTCTGTGTGTGTCTGTGTGTGCATGTGTGTGCATGTGTGTGTGTGTGTGGCAAACGGGGGCCAGGCGTCGGGAGTCCGGAAAGGGCAGCGACGCACATGCTTGAGCTG